GCTGAAAGAAGAGATGAAGTATTTTTAACTTGGATTCACACAAATACTAATGTTTTGCTTTTTTAATTGACACAGACCATATAACTTTAAATGTGGCTTACATTTTCTTGCAAAGTAGAATATATTACTGAATGTTAGATGCCATGTGTGGAACCATACCTGACCATACATAAACAATATTTTGTTTCTTTTTGATTCCTTTTCATAGTCAAATGGGGGAGACTTAACTTCAACTGTCAGAGGAAGCATAGCTTTGTCTTAGTCCATGGGAAATTAAATACTTCAGTCCTAATAAAGTAAAATATGATCTTATTTTGAACCAATACAGACTACAGCATTTAGAATACTAGAAGAAATACTGTGAATTTCTGATTTTTGAAAAGCTGCCTTCCTTAGCTTGATGAATTCCACTGCTTTCTGTCCCTTCCATTTTCAGACAAAAATAGATGCTGATGGGCTGGAATTTTCTTTTGCCTAGGGATTTGCTCACCTTGAAACCAAAATCTTTGGAAATCAATATATCCCACATGAGAAGGTGTATAGCAGGTTACATCATTTTCCTCTGAGGAAAGAGGAAACTGATCATGGAGCAGTGAGACATTATGTCTGGAGGTGCTGTTTCTTGAAAGAGGCCTGCATCTTTATTTATAATCCCAAAATAACTGTTCATGTGAGATAGGAAGTATTTGCTTTGGTCTCCAGCTCACATTCTAGTTTGGATAACTACATGGTGCTAACTATTGCAACAAAAATTCCAAACACCTTCTGCTTTGTTACTTTGCACTGTTAATTATGCCCTTTACTTCTTCCAGAGTTGGGCTGTAATTCAGTTTTAAATGGCACCCAACAAGTTACAAAGGTTCAACCATATTTTATTTTTTTCACTCTGCAGAAGGCTATTTCATCTACCAAGAAGCAAGCAATCTAATCCCATTTGACACTAATAGACTTGAGAGCCCGGATACTGTGGTTTCTGAAAAAATATGCATAGACTTCTGGTACTTTATGTTTGGGTCAGAAAACATGAATGAGCTGAGAGTGCTTATCCAAGACAGCACAGGGGAGTCTATGGTGTGGAGTCGGAAGGGAAACCAGAGCTCCTTGTGGCTGTATGGTGCCATCACTCATACTTTTCCAACAAAGAGAAAGATAAAGGTAATATATTTTCAGAATAAATTTCCTTGTACAGTGTCAGTGTTTGATGTCCCCTTGCAGGCTGCAAAAGGTTGTGCATGTAAGCTACAAAACATAATCAAGATTTGCATGGTTTATCTTATGTTTTATAATGGCCTCATGCTCTGTGCCAATAAATTAAGAGAACACCCCATGAGCTTTGCTGGTGCTGTTAGTTAGGGGTAAAATATATTTAGTGTACTCTCTTATTCCTTCCTTCTCTTCTTCATTTTATCATGAAGTCAAGGAGTTTAGGTGCCTTAATTAAATAAAGTTTTGTCTGTTGCGAGTTAAAGTTTGAGCTTTGGGTTGCTGCCTACTTTGGACTCCTCTGTAGAATCCAGACAACTAATTCTCATAAACTATTTATCAGTCACCAATATAGAGGGCAATTTTTCTTAAAGTCCTTATATTATTATTATTAGGCTTCTGAGGGAGGCTAGGAAAACTGTTATAGCCTCAGCTAACTTGATGCCTTTAGAAATAGACCAGACAGAACATTCTTAAAACATGCTAAGGAAAATGGTGTCCTATTTATATAAACAACCCTGATGCAGTAAATCACATTGTGTCCTGCCCAGGTAATTTTTGAGGCTGTCCGAGGACTAACAGAGTACGGGGATACAGCACTGGACAATGTGAGAGTAAGAGATGGACCCTGTGGTAAGTTTATATTTGCACTTTGTATTTATTCCTTCCTCATCTCTAGTTAAACTGTTGATCATTACTCCATTCCATATACAATACAGAAACTTCCCATAACTTCAAATCACAAAAGAGAAACAGGAAAAAAACATTATAACTCTTTTCATTTGAATATTTTCTGGTTTGTTGTAGTTTCTTCCGAAATAATTTTTCACTACCTCAAATGTTCAGATGAAGTTATCCCCTTCTCTTCAAATGAGTCTATTTTCACAAAGTCCAGAAAACTTCACTTGTGTTTTAAGTCTGAAGTGCAACTCTGGACCCAACCAAGGCTGTGCCTGTTGGTCTTGAATTCCAGACTAAATGCTCTCATCAGCATTATACAGGAAATCTCAGTTCATACGAGCTCAGCAAATACACATCACTTCCATAGGTCGCAAAGAAACCACAAACAAACCAGCATGAAACAGATTTGCACTACCAGCTCTGACTAGGAATCAGCAATTTGAGCTTGAACCCTGATCTTGTAACAAATCAGCCAAGACTGGCACGATCTGTGGATGACTAGGATCTGGAAGTGAATTACAGTTTCATCCTATCTTTATTGACATGCAATACTGAAAAAATGTGCTTGAACAAGAAACTCACTGAAAGTTACATAAAAAGAATTGTTAGATCTTAATAGGTCTCTCTTTGAAACACTACTCATATATTAACAAAAAAATCCCCTTCAAATTCACAGTAGCCAGTACTAAGATTTCCTTTCAGGTCCACATGCTCAGAACATGTAATTTTCCTTAAAATTCTGGGGAAAATATTTGGAGCCATTTTTGGGGGGTGGGATGTGGTTAGGAAGAGCCAGTTCTTAATTTTACCAGGCATATTAACACAGAATTCAGCCACTGGACAGTGCACTAAGGTGACTCAAAAAGAAAAGTGCTCCTCCCTCTGTTCAACTGCATTGCTACCAATATGATGAAAGTTAACTCTTAGGTCTGGTAAAAGTCAAAGTCCTTCCAGTCTTAATGTTTCTACAAAAATTTTTGTTCAGACAGAAATTTTAATCAGACTCATGGAAAACTAAATATATTTTCATTTGTCACACAAAAAATTACCTTCCAAGGCAAGCTTAGCAAGCAGTCTTTAGGTTATGATGTTTGATATCCATGTTGTCATTTGCATAACTTGTTCACCTTAGAGCTCAAGGGACAATAATCTCAGGAAGATTTTTTTTCCTGGTTTGTTTTTTGTTTGGTTGGTTTGGTATTTGTGGGGTTTTTTGTTTGGTTTTGTTTTCTGTCAGTTCTACAACAAAGTTAAATTAGAGCTTTTTGGCAATTATCTATTACGGGAATGCAGACACTATGAGGTTTTCCTGGTAATTTTTTATCAATGTTGAAAGAGCAAAAAGATCAGTTCCCAGTTAGATATGCAAAACCTGTGTTTACACTGGAGTAGGAAGCTGGTGGAGAAGAAGTAGGTGTACAAGAAACCACTGCATGCAAATGAGCTGATCCCACTTTGCAGGCAGCTTATTACAAAATATCTTCTGCTTTGAAGTTAGAGATCATTAAGTGAACAGGATCATTTTGTGCAGAGATATATCATTATACACTAGACTTCAATTTATGTGAAATCTATGGGCTTAGAACTCTAAGCCCATAGTACATAGCCAAGTAAGTATCTTGTTAATTCCCCACATCCAGCTGAGTTTAAATCATGTGGTATAGCACAAAACCAGTACCATCATAGCATGTAGCTACTGCATCATAATTCAAAAATTTCTAACTCATTCTCATCAAACTTATTTTCTCTATTACAATGTAATCCCTATAAGTCATTAACATTATAGGTAATACAGAAGAGCAGTGGCCTTACTTGTGGATTCACTTGGATGGTTATGTACCTATGTCTGGGTTTGAGTATTAAACCATGACAACCCACAGTGCATCTATAAGTAGGCTGGAAAGATTTGTTTTCCATTAATCAATTAATCACTTGGTTACCTCCTCATACACTGTGATCATGCACTTGAAGCATAGTGGAGGGCTCACAAGGGTCCAATGGGAGAGTATCTGAATGAGAAGAGTTTTCCTTTGTTCTGCAAAGGGGCAGGAGTGAATGCACACGTGCTCTGATGGTTTTAGTCCATTTGTTGTACTTCCAGTGATTTAGATCCATCACTCATCCACATGTCAACATCAGAAGAATACTCACACTGGTATTTCTAGCTCACACATACAAGTACATCACTTCTTTTAGAAGTGATGGATAAATAATAGGTAGAAAAGAGGCTAGTATTTGTTTGCAAGCAGTAGCAAGCAGTAGTCAACAGGACTGTTTGTTCTGTCTGTCAGTAAAAAGCTCTTACAGATGTCCCATTCCTAAGAAATAAATAGCACTTTGAAGAAAAAACCCCATAAATCTCTGATTAGAAACCACCAGTGCCCTGAGAGTTATTTTTTTCTACTATATGGCATCTGCTGGCTGGCTACTCAGTCCCAGACCTGTCAACACTTGCAGACACTGTGACCTTCATGCCTTAACATACACACCAGAGGGAGTCACATATCCAATTGTAAAATCCAATTCCAGCTCTAGAGAAGCACACTGGCATGAGCTCAGTTGCTTTCACCAAGCTAATAATCAGACAAGCTTTCCTAAGTGCTCAGAAGACCTACACACCCACATTTTTACATATAGGTAGTTCCTCTTGTTTCAGCGAAAAACTTCTAACTTTATGCTGGTGAAGAGTAAGTAAAGTCATGTATGGTGGTGTGTAGTTAGTGGTTACCCTGTAATACTCATTGTATTGCCTGATCTTTTCTGCTAACAGAAGCTGTCCCTACTCCTGTACCACCAACATCTACACCAACAGAACCTACACCACCTCCAGTGACAGGTAATTTTAGCCAATCACAAATGCAAGTCAATGGGTCGTAGAAAGGCACCAAAATTTTTTACTACCAGTGCTACTATTTGCTTCAGTTATTATTTTTTTTTGTTATCTCTCTATGGTATTGCCTTATGCCATATAAATCTGCCTGTTTTGTTTCAGTAGTTTTGTTTCAATCTATAGAATTGGGATGATTGTGTTTTCACACTGTACAATGAGGTGTCTTTTCTGGATGTATCCATATGCTAATGGGAACATACTAATATTTTTCTGTCTCCAGAAGCAATCTGCAGTATACATGGGGATCCTCACTATTACACCTTTGACAAGCAGCGTCATGACTTCATGGGCACCTGCACCTACACCCTCTCCAAGCTGTGCGAGAGCAACAGCTCGCTGCCCTACTTCAACGTGGAAGCGGCCAACGAGCACAGGGGAGGCAACACTCGCGTGTCCTATGTCCGATACGTGGACATTGATGTGTATGGCTACAGGATTCATCTGGATAAAAACAGAGTTGTTAAGGTGAGGTTCCCAATCCTGCGTGGTAGCCTGTAAAGCTGCATGTTCACCCATTTTCTAGTTATTCCACATCACTGCTAACTTCATTTTGTCATAAAGCAGGGCCAGATGAGAGGGTCTTAGAGTGACAATCTGATGACTCACAGTGATTTAGTCTCTTGGCCAGCAATTTTTAAGACTTACTAATGACTCCCGTCCATGAAGGGCTAAGACAGCAGATATGTTTGATTTAAGTGCCCAATAAATGAATTATCACCTTACTTCATTACCACCCTTCTTATAAGAAAATCATACAGTGATTTATGTGACAGGAGATGAAGGTTTAAATGCGCACCAAGACCTTTCCCATATGATCTTAGAAACATAATTAACTCCTATATCCACATTAGCCCAATATCTTCTCTTCTACACCTTTCCCCTTTATTTATTATTTTTACTATATATATGTTTCTAAGTAAGCCAAAATTTCTTACATATGTAAGGAGAACATGTGTTCAAAAGCTGCTTATTTTCATAAACTTTAAATCCAATGAAAATTTTACTTGGACATTTACTTTCTATTGTCTGGTATTATTAAATATGAAAATTAGAAGAGAAAGAGGAAGAAACAAAAAAGAAGCATTTTCAAGATTTGTCTCCAATCATGAACATTTTCGGAGAATCCTTTCTAACTATATTTTTAAAATATTTTTTATTCCATAAAATGTAGGTCTGTAAGCAGTTACTGCTGACAGACCATGCTAAATCTTGGACTTTTACCAGCTGGGTCTGGTTCACCAAGCTCACTTTGACTGTACTTGGAAGCTATAATATTATGACCTCAAAGCCCTAGATTATGTGCCCATATACAACATTCACGTTAATTAATACTTAACACAATGTGAGTTCTTACTGCTCACTGTGCAATTCATATGCTAAATATAAGGATTTGATCAAAAGAGGGACACCATTAAAGCTATTTCTTTTAAAGTGACTATAAAAATTGTCCTCTGTGCCTGCAGGTTGATGGAGTCAGCCAGGTGGTCCCTCTAACCTTGGAGCAAGGTGTCAGTATTTCCTTCAGTGGACAGTATGTTGTGGTTACTACTGACTTTGGGCTGAATGTCAAGTTTGATGGAAATCACAGAGCAGAAATCACTCTTCCCAGTACCTATATGTCTAAAGTCTGTGGAATCTGTGGAAATTATAATGGTCACAAAGCAGATGATTTTCTCAACCCAGATGGAGAGATGGAAACAAATTCAGCTGAACTTGGCAACAGTTGGCAGGTTTACAATGACTCCAGGTAGGACTCCAGCTGGGATGTGAGGCCTTAGCTGCTTGTTATGCAATGACCAGTATTTTAAGTAACAGTTGTATGTGGGCCAAAAATATCAGGTGCATGGGATGAAGTATACTCTTGTCAGTCTGCTTACTTTATCTACATAAAGTTTCATAGCAAATTTAACTGTGCTTAAGAAGAGAAAAAATGAGTAAAACACTGCAGATGCCCACTAAGATTTCAGTTATTTTTACAGTATATTAATGTAAACACTTAAAGATCTTTTTTAACTTTTCTGCAATACTTTGTTATTTATTTTGTAATTTCAAAATACATTATTTAATGATAGTAGAGGTTTAACCTTGAATGCTTTTACTTTGCTATTCCTTGGTATCTTCCATGTAGAAAACTTGACTTAAAAGAAAGCTAAGATAAATATTTGGTTTTCTTCCAGGCTTCTCAAAGGTTATAAGGTTGAGATCATAGTAAAATCTTAATTTCTATCCTAAGTGTTTGAAATTTAGAGCTTTAAAATATGTCATGCTTAGCCTGGGGACAGCCCTGTAGTTTTGTTAAAACTGATCTGAAAAGCATCTGAAGTGCTATCATATCCAAAGGTCACTGATGAATTTTTCCACATCTTTTTTTTCCACACTAGGTGCTTGCCAGATGATGGCCACACTCCAAATTGTACTGCTGATGAAAAACATATAATCCAAAGCAATGAATACTGTGGTCTGATCACAGATCCCAATGGTCCATTCCAGAATTGTCATGCAGTAGTTGATCCACAAAGTTACTCTGACTCCTGCCAGTATGATCTCTGTGAATTTCATTTGAACAATGCAGCCCTCTGTCAGAACCTGCAGGCTTATGCAGACGTGTGCCAAGCTGTAGGAGTTCAGCTGACACCATGGAGAAATGCAACCTTCTGCCGTATGTATCAAAGATACTGTAAATTAGCACTTGTCAGCAGAATATAATAAGGACTTTCTGAAGATAAAGCATTACAAGACACTGATAAGGCTAAAGATTTCAGAGTTGCATATCGTTCTCAGTTTGATTCCTTAGGAAAGATTCTCATGAAAATAATTAAGGTGCTTGTATGAAACAAGAAAATACATTCTAGTCCATCTTAAAATAGGATTCGTGTCCCTACAGTTTTGTTCAGGCAAAATGGAATATGATATTAAACAAAATTCAATGCTTTGGTATTTACAAGATTAATGAAAAGGTTTATCTTTCTTGCACAGCACTCACCTGCCCTGAAAACACTCACTATGAGCCCTGTGCTGCAGCCTGCCCTGCCACCTGTGTTGACCCAACAGCACCCTACAACTGCAGCCTGCCATGTGTGGAGAGCTGTGTGTGTGACAGCGGGTACCTGCTCTACAATGACCAATGTGTGCCCAGCCACCAGTGTGGCTGCTGGCACAATGGGCAGCACTACCCCGTGGGCTCTGAGTTCTGGACGGACAACACCTGCTCCTCCAAGTGCAAGTGTCCCGCACGGGGAAGCAAAGTCCAGTGCTCCAGTGCCTCCTGCCCTGCAGGCCAGTACTGTGGAGTGCAGAATGGGAAACCAGAGTGCCTTGAACAATCCTATGGCATCTGCCACATCCACGGTGACCCTCACTACATCACCTTTGACAAAGTGACACATGACTTCATGGGCACCTGCACCTACACCCTGGCCAAAGTGTGCTCCAACACCACTTCCCTGCCCTACTTCAATGTGGAGGCCAAGAACGAGCATCGTGGGAACACTAGAGTGTCCTATGTGCGCCAAGTCCTGGTTGAGGTGTATGGAGTGCACATTGCCATTGTCAAGCAGGAGAAGAGCCAAGTGCTGGTAGGCAGTGGGGCTGTCACAAGCGTGGCGTGGCTGCGGGGCAGGGCTGGCTTTTTTTGGCAGGGTCTGGCACGATGCAGACGTCTCTGTGGTCCCTGTCCCGGGTGGGTTCCCCTCAAGCCTCTGGGTTACTAGGGTTTTCTTTTCTGGAGGGGTTGGAGGAGGAAGAGGCAAAGGGGGAACATGGCCCATGTTGAAGAGAGGCCTCTGCTGAGTGCTGAGCACAGACACGCCTCTGCAAGCCACTGGGGCATGTGGGTGTGAGCCCAGGGTCCATTGCTGTGTGTCTGCCCTAGGTGAACAACGTGCGCCAGACCTTGCCAGTCAGCGCAGCGGGAGGTGCCATCACGGTGAGCAGGAGCGGCCGCTACATCATCCTGGAGACAGACTTCAACCTCAGAGTGTCCTACGACACTGACCACTCGGTGGAGGTGAAGGTGCCCACCACCTACTTCAACATGACCTGTGGCATGTGCGGGAACTTCAACAACCGCAGAGATGACGATTACATGATGCCCAACGGGCAGCAAGCTGCAAACACAAATGAGCTGGGGGAGAGCTGGCAGGTCCCAGACAACGACTCCTCTTGTGGGGTCCCCGTCCCCCCCCCACCCTGCAGTGAAGAAGAGGAGAAGCTCTACCGATCCGACCAGTTCTGTGGCATGCTGACTGCCCGTCCTGGTGCTTTTGAGAAGTGCCACGCCGTGATCAACCCCCAGAGCTACTTTGACAGCTGTTTCTATGACCTGTGTGCCCTGAACGGTGGCCAGGAGTTCCTCTGTGCTACTCTGGAGGCTTACGCTGATGCGTGCCAGGCAGCTGGCATCACTCTTCTTCCGTGGAGGAATGCCACCTTCTGCCGTGAGTTTCTGTAGAAACTGGATTTTTTTTATAGCCCCCATTTTTCTCTTACATGGCTGATTTTAGCCAATAACTGATATAGTTTAGAGATCTTAAATTCATCACATAATTACATTTAAAATATTGACAACGAAGGTTCTGTATAAGTCACTTCATTATTGATTTCTTCCAGAGAGCAGAGAAGAATTTTTTTCATTATCTCCACGACTGTACAAACAGTATAAAACCAATACAATAGTTCCCTGATAATGTGGAATTATCTCTGAGTTTCATATGATGTTTTTTCTTTCATACATTTGATCATTTTCAGATTACACGTAATTTCTTTAGCAATCTCTGTACTTCTAAAAATGTACCAGCTCAGTACTAGATCTAGTGCATATAGACATAGTTTTTAACTTGCATTTGGAGATGCTTAACATCCAGGATATATGTGGTAACATTCATGCTTTTTTTTCTTGTACAATGTTCTCTATTTTTCTGTTTTATACCAAAATAGGAAATTTATTTCAGGCTTAAAAATGCTAATTTTGTCTCTAATTCAAAATAATCCCATTTTTTGATCACAATTTCGTCTGAGTTGTGATTGTAGATTCATTGCCTGTCATTGTTTTTCAGCTGTTGCATGCCCTCCCAACAGTCACTACAATCCATGCACCAGTGCTTGTCCAGCCACCTGCCTTGACCCTCTTGCACCAAAGAACTGCAGCAGACCCTGTGTAGAAGGGTGTGAATGCAACAGTGGTTTTGTACTGAGTGGGGCACAGTGTGTGTCCACGACCAACTGTGGCTGCCTTCAGAATGGCAAATATTACGAGGTTTGTTCTGGCACATAGTTCAGGGGCTTATTTCACATTTCACCATTACCATCAACTCTTCTAATTTATTTTTATTTTGTTGTCTCTTAACAGAAAGGAGAATCTTTTTGGCAAACAGATTGTGCAGGCCATTGTGAATGTACTGGAAACGGGACTGTGGTTTGCAATTCAGACAAGTGTGAAGTAAGCGAAGTTTGCAAGGTGCAGAATGGACTCCTGGGATGTTATCCATTGAATCCCAGCACCTGCCACATTTATGGGGATCCACACTATATAACCTTTGATGGGAGACTCTACCATTTCCAAGGAGACTGCAATTATACTGTTGTTGAGAAATGCACAAATTCTTCTGGAAGGTTTTCAGTGACAACCAGAAATGAACACAGAGGAAACCCAAACTGGACAGCCTTGAACTCTGTTGCTGTCACATTGCAAAATCTTCACATTGTTGTGAAGAAAAATAAGGAGACCTATGTAAGTGTTCTATTTAAGTATAAACAATTTATCACATCTATTCACTTTACATTTCTGTCCAGAAGAGCTGAATCAGGCTTCTCTGCTTTATTCACCTCTAAGATTGCACATGTTAAAAGTCACAGAAATGTTTGTTCTGTTTTTTCAAAAAGGCAGAAATCAGCATTGCTTCCTTCTGTCCTTTCAAATATTTTCTAAATGTGATTGTAGGAAAAAAAGCTTCATCTATAGCTTCTTCTATAAAAGAAAACGGTCACTAAACTAAATCTCAGTATGAATTTCATAGATCTGTTGTTTAAATAGAAACAGCATTTTTGCTGTACACCCCTAGAGTCATACATACCAGAACTAACTTTAAACTAGATATTCCAAGCATTGTTATGTATGTAGTTGTAGCAGCACAGAGCTCACATTCTGCTCCAAAGCACTATTTATGATGTGGGATAAGTATACAGCCTAATAGTCTCTGCTGAGCTTCAAACTTCTGTGTCTACATGATTCTTTAAAACAAGGCTGATGTGGCAAAGAAAGCTATAGTACTGGCTGTGTGTAGAACTCATCTCTCTGTATGGGAGAATTATTGATTTACCTGTGTGCATTTTTTCTTTAGGTGAATGGAGTTCAGGTTCATCTTCCTGTGGATTTGAACCATGGAGCCAGAGTAGCTATAAAAGGACCTTATGTGGTCATTGATACCTCTCTAGGGATCCAGGTGAAATTTGATGGTGACCAGGACCTTTTTATTCTGGTTGATGAAAGTCTGAAAGGACAGCTGTGTGGTCTGTGTGGGACATTCAATGACAACCAACTGGATGATTTTCTAAAACCAGATAATGTCCTAGAACAGGATCCAAATAAATTTGGTGACAGCTGGTTGGTGAAGGATGACAACAGGACGTAAGTATCTGACAATATTTTAGAAAACAACAAAATGCCTGAAATATGAATAATCTAATTACAGGATTAACATACATTACTTACTTTCCATTGTAGCCTCTCTTTTGTATTACTTGTTTGCTAGCATTTTCATCTTTGAATAGCTCTACTTTTCAATAGAAAGCATTGAAATTTTAAAATCATCCCTCAGAGGTTTTCCACATGAACTTTGTAGATTTTATTTGAAATTGGGCTTATTTTTTTCACATAGCTTATTTTTTCCCCTTACTTCTCTATTCTAAAATATCTCCTTTATATTACCTTACTACAGGAAGTATAAACATATCTCTCAGATTCAGCTCCTAAGATAACTCCACACTGCTTAATACAGGCACAGGGCATTTATCTGTCTACTAATGTTTTCACATACAAATTACTACTTTTACTATATGTAACAATGAAATGAAATTATCTTGCTTGTGCTAGGTAGCTGATGTGTTGGCTTCATTTGGACTACAGTCTATGAATAGACAGTCATACATTATAATTCATAGTTACAGTCTTAATAGGGATTACAATACAATTAAGATTGTGTAATTGTAATATTTCTCACTTTGGGGTTTGACACACTGAAGATGACTATACAGCAAATTCACAGAATCTATTACTGTTGAGGTATGTCTTAGAGGATAGAACAAAATACAGTTTTATTATATAACCATGCTGTTATTTATTTTGTTGCAGCTGTAATGCAGTTTCAGTTGTTCCACCCGCTTGTGACACAGCAGAAGAGAAAAAATATGAAGAACTCTGCAAAATAATTTTGAAAAATAGTGGGCCTTTTCAGGTCTGCCATTGGCACATTCCCCCACAGCTGTACTTTCAGAGTTGTGTTTATGACCTGTGTGCCACAGAGGGGAATTCTGACCAGTTTTGCAAGATCTTAGAGGCCTATGCTGCTGCCTGTGAACTTGGAGGTGTGAATCTCGGTGAATGGTGGAAAGATACCATCTGTGGTAAGTCATTAGGTCATTTAGCAAATAGCCACCCAATTAAATCCTCATGATGCAAATATAAATTCAACTGACTAAGAAGCTGAGTACAATTTCAATAAAGGAGATTCAATGAAACACAAAAAGCTTTCAAATGCTTAGCACCTACATAAACTGGGTTTCAGATTAAAGCTTCTAAAAGGGCTTTCAGTATTCATTTTAGAATATGATGTTTAAACACTTTTGACCTAAGACTGTTGTGCAGAATTGGGTCATGAATGACAACACACACAGTCAGTTAAAGGCTCAGTGGGGGACAATTGAGCACTTGTCTAAAAAATCACTACTTTGGCTTTAATAGACTATTTTCTTTCTGAGAAGTGTTAATACATCACTTAAGCAACCTGTCTACCGCTCCAGGATTTCACCAAACATGTGAAATAAATTCAGAAGTATACAAAATGGAGATTTAAAATTAATAAAGGAGATTCCTGTAGCTTGTGGTCCATTCAGTCTTGCAGTCATAACACTATTAGGCCTTTATCATTTAGGTAGACTAGTTACTACAGAGGTAAGGCTAAAAGTAAGATATTGCTTCTTGTAGAACTACCAGAGGAGAGTATCAAAACCAGCAGAAATAACAGCCTAAGTATAAGGCTATGACATGACAAGGCATTCCTTAACTTCTTTCCAATTCACAGATAATACTTCTCATCCTGTTTATGAGTAAAAAGAAATGTCTAGTTTTCCACCTAAGCAGAAGTTTGAGAGCCAGCTGAATACTGCTGAGCTAAATAGGACATCTTTGAGCAATTTGCTATGAGCAAGGAATTTTATTATGGCACTGTGTAAAAAATAAAGGATATCAGCATATTATGGTGAAAACTGAGGAAGGGACTTGTAAAATAACACATTCTCAAGCACTTAAACTTTCATCATAACATCTTCAAATTTTTTTATGAACATGGATGCATGAAACCTAGAAGGGCATTGTCAGAAAAGAGAGAAGATTCCAAACCTCATTGTGGAAACTCTATTTTTCTTTCTGTACCATATTCAGCTGTACCACCAGCCTGCAATATGTCATGCACTTTTGATGTTGACTTCTGTCAGTGGGAACAGGCAACCAGTGACGACTTTGACTGGATAAGGCACAAAGGGCCAACACCCACACCAGATACTGGCCCTTCTGAGGACCACACAACTGGAGGTAGGAACAGCAAACAGTATCTGGCTGTGCTTTTCTTGGAAGAAGGCCAAGAGCCTCTTTTAATGTCAAATCCAGGCCTTGTGTTTCTGCAGTAGTCAGAAATCTGTTATGGGGTGGATGAACAGTGTACACTGATGAGCATGTGACTTGTTAGCATAAGTTCCTGTGAAGATACTTCAGCAAAGGCATATCCAGGCAGAGAATGGATCACTGTGGCACTCAGTCTTTCCTTCAGGACTTACTTTCCCTAAGTAGGAGACAAGTGTAATATGCTGGAAATCAATTTTGGTACTAAAAGTTAAATACAGGTGCTGGGTAAAGAAATGTTGAGCTGTACATAATCTGTAAATGAAGTGACTTTTACTTGTCCTGGCCCATTAATGTGAAATTGACACTTTGCATTCTCCAGATGGCTACTATATCTACCTGCAAGGAAGTAACCATGAGCAAAGTGATGTAGCCCACTTGGTCAGTCCAGTATGCACTTTGAAAGGACCACACTGCTTCCGCTTCTGGTATCACATGTATGGATTGGCCGAAGCAATGGCCCTGCGCGTGTATGTAGTTCACAATGAAACGTCAGTTCTGGTATGGAAAGAAGCTGGAAACAAAGGGAATAGATGGAACTTTGGAGAAGTGACAGTGCAAAGCACAGGAAACATTCAGGTAAGGGCAGAAGGTGTCACTGCTATTTGAAATTAACCATGTTTGTAACCATAGTTCCATATTTGTGGCTGGAACTAATGGTATAAATTCTCCTTTCCTTTAGATTCTGTTGGAAGGCATGATAGGTGAAAACTTCCAGAGTGACATAGCATTGGATGACCTGTCCATTGAAAAAGGATACTGCACAGGTACAAGGCTTGGCCTCGATAAGGGCAGCTTGAGGAACCTTGTGCTTTTTGTGGCAAGGAATGCAGTTTCTGTCTTGAACAGGCCATGATCAGGGAGGATTTGCTTTCTTCTAAAATTGTCTCATTTCTAGGCAACGCGACTCCAACACCAGGCATCCCTACCACCACACCTTCAGGACAGGAAACCACACCAGCACCCATGCCGGGCTCAGGTGAGTAGAGGAGACCAATCATGGGGCTGATGATCTTTGTGCAGGGTGGGCTGGGAAGAAAAGGCAGCAGGAGGTGCTTAACTGAACCTTTCCTCTGGTCTTTCCGCTGTCAGGGACCTGTGTGGTGGAAGGAGACCCTCACTACCACACCTTTGACAAGCAGCTACACCACTTCATGGGCACCTGCACCTACACCCTCTCCAAGCTGTGCGAGAGCAACAGCTCGCTGCCCTACTTCAACGTGGAAGCGGCCAACGAGCACAGGGGAGGCAACACTCGCGTGTCCTATGTCCGATACGTGGACGTCGATGTGGCTGGCCAGCGGATAAGGCTGGGGAAGGGTGGAGTGGTGACGGTGAGCACAAGGGCCAGAGGCAGTGGGGCTGTGGAAGAGGAGAGAGCAGTGCCAAAGGGGTTGCTCCAACCTTGTCTTGGTTTCTGTCCTTGCAGGTCAATGGAGTGGCAGAGGTCTTGCCCTGCACCCCATCGGCAGGCGTGCAGGTCTCATCCAGCGGATTCTACACAGTGGTCACAACTGACTTTGGCCTGAAGGTGAAGTTTGATGGGAACCATCGGGTGGAGGTGACGCTTCGAAGCACCTTTGGGCAGAAGGTTTGTGGCATGTGTGGGAACTACAACGGCGTGGCAGCAGATGACTTCCTGAACCCGGAAGGTGGGCTGGAGCCAGACTCCACCAGCCTGGGCAACAGCTGGCAGGTGTACAACGACAGCAGGTGTGTGTGGCCCAGCAGCAGGCCTGGGGAAGTGATGGGCAAGGGGATGGGGAGGCACCATGAGAAGCCCACAGGTGACTCAGGGGCCCTTCTCCTGGTCTTTCCACAGCTGCTCACCCGGAACACGCCCTACCCCGGCCTGCAATGAGACAGACAAGCAAGTCATTGCCAGCAACCGCTTCTGTGGGCTCCTCAGTGACACCAGCGGCCCGTTTCAGACGTGCCACCCTGTGCTGAGCCCCAGCGGCTACTTTGAGACCTGCCTTTATGACCTGTGTGAGCTGGGGCTGGACCGCGAGGCCCTGTGCAAGAGCTTGCAGTCCTACGCGGACGCCTGCCAGGCCCTTGGTGTCAAGATCCCCGTGTGGAGGAACGCAACCTTCTGCCGTAAGTCCACGCACAACACCATGGATGGGCACTCTCAGGAAAGCACAGAAGAGGAACGCAAGAGTGGGGAATAAGAAATATGGTCACTGTGTGCTGCACGAAATTACAGGGAGTTGTCAGTATCAGAGGCACCCTCTTCTGTTTTGTTTGATCAGCTGTGGCATAGAATTGCCATGGAACCAAAGTGATGCCAGAGATAAGGGACCCGACATTTTTCAAAGGAGAAAATGTAGAACCACAGAGTGGTTTGGCTGCAAGGGGCCAAAGAAATTATTATAGCACAAAGAAGTGTTCTGTTCCCCAAGTAATGACCATGTTTTCTGTCTCTGCAGCCATTGCCTGTCCAGCCAACACTCACTATGAGCCCTGTGCTGCAGCCTGCCCTGCCACCTGTGTTGACCCAATGGCTCCTGCTAGCTGCAGCCTGCCATGTGTGGAGAGCTGTGTGTGTGACAGCGGGTACCTGCTCTACAATGACCAATGTGTGCCCAGCCACCAGTGTGGCTGCTGGCACAATGGGCAGCACTACCCTGTGGGCTCTGAGTTCTGGACGGACAACACCTGCTCCTCCAAGTGCAAGTGTCCCGCACGGGGAAGCAAAGTCCAGTGCTCCAGTGCCTCCTGCCCTGCAGGCCAGTACTGTGGAGTGCAGAATGGGAAACCAGAGTGCCTTGAACAATCCTATGGCATCTGCCACATCCACAGTGACCCTCACTACATCACCTTTGACAAAGTGACACACAGCTTCATGGGCACCTGCACCTACACCCTGGCCAAAGTGTGCTCCAACACCACTTCCCTGCCCTACTTCAATGTGGAGGCCAAGAACGAGCATCGTGGGAACACCAGAGTGTCCTATGTGCGCCAAGTCCTGGTTGAGGTGTATGGAGTGCACATTGCCATTGTCAAGCAGGAGAAGAGCCAAGTGCTGGTAGGCAGTGGGGCTGTCACAAGCGTGGCGTGGCTGCGGGGCAGGGCTGGCTTTTTTTGGCAGGGTCTGGCACGACGCAGACGTCTCTCTGGTCCCTGTCCCGGGTGGGTTCCCCTCAAGCCTCTGGGTTACTAGGGTTTTCTTTTCTGGAGGGGTTGGAGGAGGAAGAGGCAAAGGGGGAACATGGCCCATGTTGAAGAGAGGCCTCTGCTGAGTGCTGAGCACAGACACGCCTCTGCAAGCCACTGGGGCATGTGGGTGTGAGCCCAGGGTCCATTGCTGTGTGTCTGCCCTAGGTGAACAACGTGCGCCAGACCTTGCCAGTCAGCGCAGCGGGAGGTGCCATCACGGTGAGCAGGAGCGGCCGCTACATCATCCTGGAGACAGACTTCAACCTCAGAGTGTCCTACGACACTGACCACTCGGTGGAGGTGAAGGTGCCCACCACCTACTTCAACATGACCTGTGGCATGTGCGGGAACTTCAACAACCGCAGAGATGACGATTACATGATGCCCAACGGGCAGCAAGCTGCAAACACAAATGAGCTGGGGGAGAGCTGGCAGGTCCCAGACAACGACTCCTCTTGTGGGGTCCCCGTCCCCTCCCCACCCTGCAGTGAAGAAGAGGAGAAGCTCTACCGATCCGACCAGTTCTGTGGCATGCTGACTGCCCGTCCTGGTGCTTTTGAGAAGTGCCACGCCGTGATCAACCCCCAGAGCTACTTTGACAGCTGTTTCTATGACCTGTGTGCCCTGAACGGTGGCCAGGAGTTCCTCTGTGCTACTCTGGAGGCTTACGCTGACGCGTGCCAGGCAGCTGGCATCACTCTTCTTCCGTGGAGGAATGCCACCTTCTGCCGTGAGTACCTGCCTTGCAGTGCCCAGCAGGGAAACATGCCTCTGCCCCTGCTCCTGCCTCTGCCTCCGGCCCAGAACCTCTGGCCACAGGAAGTCTCTGGCCATAGCAGGACCTTCCCAGAAGGTCATCCTTCTTTGCAGTCTTGCTGGTCCTGATTGTCCCCTTCCCGTTGCAGCCCTGCTGTGCCCCTCCAACAGCTACTACGACCCCTGCATGACCGGCTGTCCTGCCACCTGCGTTGACCGGCACGCCCCGCAGAACTGCTCCAAGCCCTGTGTCGAGGGCTGTGCGTGTACCTCTGGCTTCCTCCTCAGCGGAGACACCTGTGTGCCCGAGGCCCAGTGTGGCTGCCTCTTTGAGGGCAACTACTACAGCGTGAGTAAAAACCCTGCCCTAGCTTGGGCCCTCACAGGGCACTCTCTTGCCTCTGCTTTCCTGCCCAACGTGCTGATTCTTGGTGCTTCATTGCCTGCAGCAAGGCGAGTCCTTTGTGAATGAGAACTGCACTCGCCAGTGCCGCTGTGAAGCCAACGGCCAGATGGTTTGCTCTGCGTTGTCCTGTAGTATGGATGAGGTCTGCAAGATCCAGAACGGCCAGAGGGGCTGTTACCCAGCCAGCATTGCTCTCTGCCACATCTACGGCGACCCACATTACAGCACCTTCGATGGGAAGCTTTACCACTTCCAGGGCTCCTGTAACTACACGGTGGTGACGGGCTGTGATAACTCCTCCGTTGGGTTCAGCGTCACCACCCGCAACGAGCATCGCGGCAGCCAGAGCTGGACAGCTCTGAACTCAGTGGCACTGTCCATGGAAGGCCTCCACATTGCACTGCGCAAGAGCAAGGCAGTCTACGTAAGCCCCTCAATTTTACACCTGGGAACAACAGATGCCCTTGGCACCATTAAATACCTCTCTGCCAACAAAAAGAGCTTGTTATTCCCTGTGCCTGCAGGCATGCTCACAGAAGAGCAGTGAGGCTCTGAGCAGCACAGCTCCAGCTGCTTGCAAAGCAGCAAGGTTTCAGCTTCCTTTCCTGAGTTTCAGTGGGCTATGTGTAGAGCAGCTGCTGTTCTCACAGGCCTGGACAGGGCTTCTCCTGCCATTGCATGCTTCTGAATCACAGGACCTTTCATCATAGCAATGAGAAGTTGAGAGCAACTAATGGAGGCCATCTCTATATGCTTCTGTCTCCTTTTCTCCCCCTTTTTTCAGATCAACTATGCTCTGGCCTCCCTGCCTGCTTCTCCTGCACCTGGTGTGACCATCACTGTAAGTGGCTCCTACGTGCGAGTTTCCACCAACCTGGGCCTGCATCTGCAGTTCAATGGGGACCAGGAGCTCCTAGTGACGGTGTCTGAGAAGCTGAAGGGCAAGCTGTGTGGGCTGTGCGGGACGTACACTGGGAGTCAGCAGGACGACTTCATGCGACCCGATGGAGTTGTTGTGCCCAGCTTCAATGATTTTGGAGCCAGCTGGATGCAGCCAGATGATGAGTGGCCGTGAGTCCCTGTTCTGTCGCTTAGAGGATGGGCAAAAGGGAGCACGGGAGAAGGGAGCTGTGAGGAGCAGGAGGACGAGGGGGTGGCAATGGCAGGCATTAGCTGAGGGAGAGAGAGGGAGAGGAGGCAAGCAGTTGTGGGAAAGAAGGTGTGTGAGAGCATGTAGAGGCTCCACAGCAGCAGACATAGCAACCTTGCATCTCACGTCCCTGCTCCATCCAGCAGTGGGATGTCCTGTGTGCCAGGTTTTGGCTGGGGAGGAGGTCAGGAAAGGGTGTGGCTGCTGTGAGCTCAGGGCTGTCTGTCTGCCCTGTAGGTGTGACCCAGCCATCAGCCCGCCAGCCTCCTGCTCCCCCTCTGAGGAGGAGGCAGCTAACAAGACCTGTGCAATCCTCACACAACTCGGTGGGCCCTTCCGGCCATGCCACGCAGTTCTGCCACCCAAGACGTACTTTGAGAGCTGTGTCTATGACCAGTGTGCCACGAGTGGCAGCACGGAGCAGTTCTGCAATGACCTGGAGGCCTATGCCACAGCCTGTGCTGAGGCAGGCGTTGCTCTGGGAGACTGGAGTGCTGGCACTGTCTGTGGTAAGTGTTCTGTCACCTCCTTTGTTTCCCACATTTCAGGAATTTCACAGCTGTGGTGAAATTTTCTCTGTGTGTCATGTGACATCTCTGGGTTGCTAGCTGGGTAAAGTGACTGTGTTAGATACGCCATGGATTTCATGTCCTTTGCTCCTTTTATCATGGTGTGGCCGTGTTTTACAAGGGTGCAACATCCCCATATGGGCACTAATCCTCATAATGAAACACATCTTCTCCACTGCTTTTTTACTGAGCTGCTCCTACAACCTCTTCCTCCTTGCCAGACACCTCAGGGCCACCTTCACATACAACACTGCCACCAGCAGCTGCAATAAGCACATGTACTGTTTGTTATCTGTCATCCATGTTTCTTACTGGCTGTGCTAGACAATCAGCTCATGCGTACTTCCACGCTTTTGGCCACCGTCACCTGTCTGCAAGCATGCCTGGGATGTATCTATGGGGCCGGGAGAAAAGGTGATCCTACACTCTCTAGAAACTTTGCTTTCCTTTCTGCATCATATTCAGCTTCCCCCACAGACTGCAATTTTGCCTGCACATTTGATGACGACTTCTGTGAGTGGGTCATGGCAGATTACAGCAGCATTGACTGGATAAGAAACAAGGGTCCAACACCCACACTGAATACTGGCCCCTCCTCTGACCACACAACAGGAGGTAAGAACAGGAATCAGTACACAGCAGTCCTTCAGGTAGAAGGGTGTCCCTGGGAATGTGGTAACAAACGTAACAGCAAATACAGGCCATGTGATTTCTGGCCTTGATCCAGTGTCATTTCCCCAAGAGCCACAGCTTACCTTTAGGAAGATTTCTAGCCCTTTGAATCAGTCTACAATACCAACAGGACAGGCAAGGATGTGCTGTGCAAGGGTGAAAATAATGCAAAGCTTGATGACCAGGCTGTCTCAGGCAAACAGGGATGGGTTTCTCTCTTAGGAGACACTGGCTTCTCCAGAATCCGGTGATGAATGGGGCCCAAAGCTGCAGAGCTATTTCAGAATTGTGGTAATGCTTTGGAGATGTTGTCATTGCCCCATCCAAGCCATTCAGATGCTATGACCCAGAGAGCCCCATTCCTAGGTGGACTCAGGGCTGGACCCATGTCATGGCTGGCAAAAGACCTCTGTTTACTCTCCCCTGCTTTTGTCTGCCTTGAAATGCAGCACCAGGTGCTCCCACAACTGTACTTTAGTTGTCCTCAGCTGCTTTGCCTAGGTTTGATATGTGTGTAAAAGTGTGGCTCACACTTTGTTTCAGACGGCTACTACATCTACCTGCAAGGAGGACTCAGTGCCTTCCCTGGTGCCTCAGCTCATCTGGTCAGCCCAGTGTGTAGTTCGGAAGGACCACACTGCTTCCGCTTCTGGTATCACATGTACGGAACTGCTGAAACAATGGCCCTGAGAGTGAACCTGGTGAAGGGCAATGACCTAGTGCCCATCTGGAACAGCACTGGGAACCACGGGGATAGATGGAACCTGGGAGAGATCACAGTGCAGAGCACAGGAAACTTGCAGGTAAGGGCACAGGCTCTCACTATCATCTGAGATGAACGAGACTTTGTAATGGCATTTCACACATGAAGCCAGAGCTAATGCTGAGGACCTTCCCTTCTGTCAGATTGACCTGGAGGGAGAATGGGGTGAAGATTCCCGGAGTGAAGTAGCATTGGATGATCTGTCCTTTGAAAAGGGATACTGTGCAGGTAAAAGCTCTGCTGGAGACCTCTCCAGCTCTGCTGGAGACATGTCACCAGTTGAGGTGGCAGGCTGTGCTATAGGCAGGAGCACAGGTTGGTTTTGCAGTGCCCTGTAGGCCAGTGAAGCAGCCTGTGCCCAAGCAGGCTTTCCTCTGGGAGGCTGGAGCCCTGGCACTGACCCCTGTCACTATGTAGTCCATGTACTTCCTGGCCCACAGCCAAGAAGTGGAGCATAGATGCTGACAGGCCAAATCTGCTTTTGTCTCCCAGAGATGCTGATAGCACAGCCCTTGAATGACAGGGCTCTCTTTCTGAGATCACACGCTGTTATTGCTGCCCTGGGCATCCCTTGTCATGTTGTTGGGGTGTTTGGGTAGGGTGGACAAGCTGCCTACTCTTGTGCTCCATCCCCATTTCTCCTGCTTGTAGAAACTCTTCATTTCACTTTTTCTGAAGCCTCTGACCATGAGATGGAGAGTCTAGTCAAGAGGCATACATGTCTCATTCTATCCTCCATCTCTGCTGGTGGAAGAGCATTTCAGAGCAGAAATCTCTGCTGAGGAGTCACTGTGTGATCCCTAATCTCGGTCCCTCTGATCATGGTGTTGGGTGTTAGGGAAACACAGACCAGCTGCCAGCAAAACTCCAATTTTGGCACGTATCTCCTCTAACTCTCTCTTGTACTAGGTCCACCAACACAGCCTCCACCCACGCCATCAACACCAAGACCCACACCGAGCTCAGGTACTGTTATTTCCCATCCCCATCTCTTACTACCTGTCATAACTGCTCAGTTTTCTTAATGCAGGTCCCTCAAACCAAGTGACAGAGCTTTTATGCTGTCAGAGCTTTTACTTACTCACCCAGTCCCACTGGTGTGACAGTCCTTCCATGCTGGGACTCTTTCTGAAGTGTCACTATTGAAGTCCTGCCCTGGGTCTCTTTTGCTAGAGTGTTGGACTGTTTGGTAACAGTAGATAAGCTGCCTCATAATTATCTCACATACCTTTTCTTGCCATGTCCATAAATATTTAAACTACCCTTTTCTATGGCAAGTTTTCTCTTCTTATACAGGTGTTATTTTTGTAGGCTTTTTAAAATTTAATTTAGATTCCCAATTCTGGTTTTATTTTGGATACAATCCAATTATATGGTCCTGAAAAAGTCTGAGTCATTGTGGTTATTGCTATATTAGTACTTTAGGAAATACAATAAAATGTCAGTTTAGATAAGTTTTTATTGCTTCTTTCCTTGAATTTTAAGACTAAGTCTACTACATGTATTAGCTTGTTAAGTACATGAGCGTGCTGCCTCACCTAGTCAGTTTGGATGTCTTCTGGATATTTTGGATAATTGTTATGTATGTAATTCCTGGAGTTTTATTTGTTTGTAAGCAGTTAAGGTTGACAAGCAGACAAAACCAGAAGTGTAGCTATTTTTGTAGAATGACATTGAAAAGCAGAGAAGAAATAAGGACCTCTTTTCATAATTCGTTGTTGTTGATAAACACCATAAAATACTTGCAAGCTCAGTTCTGCTAAGATTTGATGGGAAGATTTATTTTTTTTTTAATGGAAATGGGATTTTTTTTATTAGCATTCAAAACCTTGCCCATCTCACACACACAAATGCACACATACTGTGTGCCTCCATTTGTACATATTAGCACTGGCTAAATAACTTTGATATTTTTTTAGAAGTGTGTGAAGGACATCTTGTGTATGCAGTGCTCAACAGGAGTTCCCTAACTGGTTGGAGTACAAAACCCCAAACAGCTGGTAGTACAGTGATCTGTTCTGGCTAACCAGCCCTATAAAGATTTTTAGCAGATTCTTCCTGTTTAGTCAGAAATAGCCTTTCGGACATGAACACTAAAAACTCACTGCTCTGCTTTATATAATTATGTCTTAATAGCAAAGCTTTTTTTAAAATTAAAGTTTTTTGCGTATATTTCTTCCTCAAACTCTAGTACAGATTTCTTATACATAAGAGTATAGATTCTTTATGGGAACCAAAGACAAGAAGCTGGGCTGGGCTTTGGAATGTATTTGACTGATGCCACCACTGTTATCTCTGAGAAGCAATTACAAAGTAAAATAAAACAAGTGTGAACAAAGCAAATGCAGAAGTCTGGTACCATAATTTATTTATTTCTTTCCAGGCCGTGCTATCTGCAGTGCCTCTGGGGATCCCCATTATAACACTTTTGACCACAGAGTTCACAATTTCATGGGAAATTGTACTTACACTCTCTCCAAAGTGTGTAATGTCTCTGAGAGGCTTCCATACTTTGATGTGTCCACAACGAATGAGCACAGAGGAGGCAACACCAAAGTCTCTTATGTGAAGTCAGTGCAAGTGGAAGTCTATGGCAACCAGATTTCTTTGCTGAAAAACAAGAAATTGAATGTGAGAAAACATTTGCTTAAAATATATATAATATTTTTAAACTGGCATGTGAATAATCAAATACTTATTCTGAATGTGGAGTTCATAACAAGCTTTCTTTTTTTTATTATTTAAATGTACCTCTTTTAATGAGATGTCCAATGAATTGTCTCAAATTAAGTGTTCTTTAATTGCTTCCAGTTCCCTTGTGCACAAGATCATACCTTTAACTAATCTATTTTTGGTGCTGGTAGTGGTAAGAGTTCCAGCAGCCATACCCTAACTTTTACAACTTTCCTTACAGGTGAATGGCATCAGAATGAACCTGCCTGTATTTATTGAAAATAAGATCATTATTCAAAGCAGTGGTGGATATATTCTCTTGGAAACTGACTTTGGACTGTGGGTGAGATATGATGGAAATCACTATGCAGAAGTCTCTGTGCCCTCTAGTTACCGTGGTCTGCTCTGTGGCCTCTGTGGTAAGTTGTGGGCTTAGTCACTTTTTAGGGAGTTATGGAGGCTGGTGATTACTTGAACTTTTTTTTCTCAGCATGTCATACTTAGTCTACACACAATTAGTCCCTGTCAAATTGACTCAAATTTACAGCAGTGAAGAAAATTTGCTAGAATTTTTCAGTTTCTAAGGATAGTTACTTACAAAATTCCTGGAACACGTTATCCATTTTGTGAGGCATAGCTACAAATAATATTTTTAGCCAACTAAAAAAACCTCACATCAGTTCCACACTTTAGATTTAGGAAGAGTAATGATTTCCATACATCTAGTCGAGAATTCTACAAACACATTTTTCTGTTATTTGCACTCTGATGTGTTTGGGTTTTGTTGGCTGTGAGGAATGTTCTTATGGAACTAGATCACAAGGAAGAACTGCTTAGCTAAAAAACTCCAACTCCTTTCCTTGGAACCTTCCAGTAGAATGATAGATTAAAGAACTTACTGATTTCTTGCTTCACATCCACAAGTCTCTGAAGAGCCACTCTGGTCAGTGGTCAAAGTCTAAAACAACTGAGCTCTTCTTATTTTGCCCACTACATGCTGATGTTGTTCATATAGTCTCCCTAGTTCATTATAGTTTATTTTACAGTCTGAAGCCTAGGTTTGTTCTACAGGAGTGAACTTGAAGTGTCTCATAAATCTCTTTTTACCCTCACAGGTAATTATAATGGTGATCCAAATGATGACAACATAAAGCCCAATGGTGACATTGCAAGTGGTTCCACTGATCTTGGACAAAGCTGGCTTGTACCTGAGAACAACACCATGTATGTATATTGATTTAATCACATCGCATTTGCTAATCAAACATCTCTCCACTCGCTGGCTTTGTCATCCAGTACCATTTTACATCTTTCAGCTGCCCATTAGAGGTAGGGAGCTGCCCCTTTACATTATACAGGGAATGAGAAGAGGGCTTGTGTCCTGTAAGTCTTGTTTTCCAAAGCAGGAACTGTCCACTGATAGTGAGGAGAGATGGGACTTCATTTCAGTTCCCTGATTGGAAACCATAAGTTATTGGATCCTGTAGGTCTTTTTTTCAGCTAAGAATAAGCCTTTGAATAGCCCAGAAGACATTAAAATGGAGTGCATTCAGTGACAGGGGTGACATCAGCTTTTCAAAGAAGCTGGATAAAGTCTTGTGACTGTGGTAAAATACACCGTGTTGTGCAGGGTTTGTCATGTGTCAGTCTTCCACTGAAAATCTGATAGCAAGTAATGCAAAACACACATTTAATTTTGCTTGTTTTCCTCAGATGCTCAAATGGAATAGAAGAGCAATGTGATCCTGTGCTGGAGAGTGAAGCAAAGAAGAACACGACATGCGGCATGATCACAGACCCAGAAGGTAGTGTGATGGTACCTCTCTGTTAGCCACATACTGGAGCACTTAAGAGCTTTTCTTGTCTCCTTGCTCTGAGCTCACATTGGAAGCACATAAAACCTTCAGTGTGAATGGCCAACAGAAAACTCATACATGCTTGGTCAAGACAAGTGCACCATTCAGACAATGCTTATGTGTCCACAGAAATTATCTCAGAATGGGTACAGGAAGCAAAAACTGCCCTGCTCGCTAAAAGAAATAGTTCAGAGGGCACTGTCATTGGATGTATTACAGATACTTCATTTGAAATTCTATAGATGTTTCCTGTATTGGAGAGCTCTTGCAGCTTTCTAGAATTGTAGAATTGTAGAATTCTAGAATCTTGCAGTTTTCTGGCTTGCCTAGCCAGTAACTCTTGTTGTATCAATCATGCAAAAAGTAGAAAGCCTAGTCCAGAGGGCCTAGTCTCATTGTGCATGCTGTTTCAAGTGTTGGTTTAACTTACTTAACAAAGTTGTTCTGGAACACTTACAGTGCATTTGCTGTGATAGAGAGTAGGTGGTGGTGGTGATCTTATCATTCCCAGGTGTTGTTTTTTTCTATGCTTCTATACATCTTTCTTGATTTACACAGGAATCTTCAAGGCTTGTCATACCAAAGTGCCTCCAGAGAATTTCTTTGAAAACTGTGTTTATGACATGTGTTTCACCGGTGGACAGGCAACATCCTTGTGCTATGGGCTGCAGGCCTATGCCGAGTCATGCATCAATGCTGGGATATGCATAGAGTGGAGGAATGCTACTCTTTGCCGTGAGTGTTGTGACTTATAAATATCCTGGGTTTAAACTTCAGAAGTATGCATATACCCCTCTACACTTTTCATGGGGTTTATTTCATTTTATGTAATGTTTTGAGTATAGTCTACCTTTTGTGTTTCCAGTATTTGCATAAAACACTAATTTTCATGAACATTTGGATATATGTAGGCCTAATCCTTAAAATTTTAATAATTTACTATTAGTTTATTGGAAAAAAAAATATTATGTTCAACTGTATCTTATGTGAGCTTCTACATTGGGGAAATAACTGTTGCTTGGCTCCACTGAAAATCTGCCATCACCAGTGTAAGTGAAGCTGGTAGCCCTCCACACACAAATGCTTATCAATGGATTTTGGTTAAAAAACTAGTTTAATTAGAGAACTTGAAAAAGAGCTGTTTCTGGCAAGTTTACGAGTATCTCTCTGTAAACCAAAGAAATAAATTTTTCTTGCCCAATATCCTCATTAATTCTCTTCAGAATTTCCTTATGCAAAATGTCATGTAATGAACCTCTAAGATCAAGTCCAAACATTAACCCAGCACTGCCAAGTCCATGAATAAACCATGTCCTAGAGCATCAGTGCTGTCAGATCACAATACAGAAAATACAGATGATGTTTTGAATACTTTTTAATATCCTTCTGGGTTTGAAATCTTCTAGGAATAGTTGGATCACAATTTAAAATATTCCTTCATAGGTATTAAGTCTTTAGTTTGACTTTTTGTTTAAATGCAATCCAGGATTGTCCCATGAACTGCTCTTTCTCGAGACTCTTTAACAAACATTGTAAGGTTTGTGATGAAATATTGAGACCTGGGGGAAAATATTGGCAGGGAAAAAAAAGTGTATTTCCTAATGGCCATGTACAGCAAGTAGTTTGTGCTCAGGAGTTTGCAGAGAAACCTGAGTACATCCATTTCTGTGCAGGCACAGCCTAACTCACTGCAGTAGTTAATCTGTAAATTCATCTGCATTATTTTTTAATAGTGATCCTCTAGGCAGTCAACAGGTTGTCCCCTTGTAAGTGACCGTGTAGTCAAAGGCACAAAACTATTGAGGACAGGGCTCCTGCCAGGGCCCGGCCCTCCGAGGGGACGGGATGCCCAGGGCTGGCACTGCCACTCTGGACGTTTTCCATGCCAAGAAGAGACAGGCTCCTGGAGCTGGGAAGTGCCGGTGCCAGGTGTGGAAAGGCTTCCTGTGCAGCAAGTTCAGTCTGGCGGGTCAGTCCAGACCCTGGGCGAGGCGGCAGGGCCCGCCGATGGAGCGTGGAGCCCCCAGGGTGGGCCTGCCGGACACTCAGCTCCTTCCCTCGCACCCACACGGACACTCAGCAGGGAAGCGAGATCCCCCTCCTCAGCCCGGCGGGTCTTGTGGGGTGTGAGGCAGCCGTGCTGGCGCCCGGCTTCCCGCTTCCCCCTTCCCGCTTCCCGCCTCGGGCAGGGCAGGTTCACTGGTGGCAGCGGTCGAGAGGACTCAAGTCACATTAAGAGGATTGACTCTCAAGTGCTCCCCTCATCAGTTGCTCAAGTACAAATTCAATTAAGAGCCTGACAAAGGGCAGGTGCTCTGGCTGGATGACTGGAAGTGTTGGCTGTAACTGCCTGACAGGACTAAGAAATCCTGCCATAGGGACAGAAGTAAATGAGAATCTTATGTGGTGATTTATCACCGCATCTATCCAGAATCAGTATTTAGGGTTTTTTTCAATGACAGAAACGGCCAAATACTTCAGGTCTTCTATAAAATGTAATGTCTTCCCTGGGAAGTGTGCTTTGAGTGACAGAAGCACAATTCTATCATGAGCAGGAGAGGTGTGACAATATATTTTCCTCAAGAAGTCTCAGTGGAAGACAGTCTGGTTTTTAGTTCTATTTTTAAATATATGACAGATGTTCAAACAGTAACTACAGTAATGGGGCCATATCTGCTAGTACGTGAAGAGATTCTTCTATTCCCTTAGTGAGCAACTTTGCCTTTAAACCTGCAGAAAAAGATTTACTGAGCCCAGCACCGTTAGTCTGGTATGATCACATCAGACCTACCCCTCAAACTGAGCCTGGCAAGTTTTACTTCCTTTGTGAGGTGAAGTGCAGGGTGGCCCACCTGCCCTATGCACATCTACCAAAATCCACACTGCAAGAAAATCCTTTGTATGTAGCACTCTCCAGGGTCAGGCTTTTTAACAGAAATTTTTGTGTATTTTCATGAGCAAACTCTGAAAGCGTCAGGAAAACTTTTATCATGATTTTGCCCTTTTGAGTGATTTTATTTTTTTCTTTTTCTCTCTAGCAATGGCCTGTCCTGGAGGAAGCATCTACCAGAGCTGTGGTACTAGGTGTCCCTCTACCTGTTTGAACATCTCAGCAGTTGATTCCTGCAGTTCCTTACCAGTGGAAGGTTGCTTCTGTAAGGAAGGCTATGTTTTAAGTGGAGACAAATGTGTGCCAGAAAGCAGATGTGGCTGTGTTGATAAGAAAAACCAGTATCACGAGGCAAGTTATTGCAGACATTTAAAGAGAAATTTTTAAAAAAATTAAAATCTCATTCTTTATCACTAAGACAAAAAAATGTTAGTAAGACTAAGAACTAACACTAACAATTATTATTTACACTATTAATAATGACAAAATAGACTCACTTTGCCAGCCTTCTTGATCTGTGTGGCTACAATTGCCCAAATTCAAATATTATTGATATTGACTTGATTGTCTCTTATGGTATTATCTTGCAATTTATCTTATAGTATATAATTCTACACTCTTTTTTTCCACTCAGCTGGAGGAAAGCTGGTTCCCCAGTTACCCCTGCACTGAACGCTGCACCTGCAAGGCTAATAATACCATTATATGCACATCCTGGGAGTGTGGAGTCCGAGAGGAATGCAGTGTTAAGGATGGTGTGCTGGGCTGTCATTCCAATGGTAAATCCTGCCTGAAAATGGTTCTTAAAGTCAATCCCATAATTAGGTCCTTTTTCTCCTTCTACCTTCATGATAAATACCTTTTTGTATGTGATGACAAAGAAGTCCCAGCTGACTGCTGCCAGTGCTAAGAGATAAAATGACATGATGATCTGTCTTGTAAGCACAGATCCCCTTCTGTTGTAGTGGATATTAGCAAAAACTGATGCTGCTCAAAAGCTTGCATGGTCAGTTAGGTTCCCTTTGTCTTCATAGTACAAATCCAAATCCCAAGTTGTGTCACCAGGGCTGCAACCTCTAAATTTGGGAATAATTGAGAACTGTATTTCTGAAAGTCTGAGTGATGGCAAGTCCATTAAGTCTCTCTCTATATAGAGGCAAATTTATTTACTTTAATATTTACACCTAATTTTATACATATAATTATCTATCTTTATATAAGTAAGTAGCAAAGCTTTCTATTTATATCAACTACCATAAGTCATAGCTACTATAGCATATAGAAATGTTATAAAGAGGTTTGTTTGCTGCCAAGTTGCCAGTTTGTACATAATGTGTAAATTAAATATAGGAGACACTTTCTGGAAATTTCTTATTTCCAAATAAATGTAATTGGCTTGAACCTGAGATACCTCTGTGAAGGTTTGCCCACATAATAATGATCAGGATTATGTTTCTGTCCTAATGCAAACATCTTTGGTAAACTGAGTCCATGGTGAAGTCCAGTCCAAAGTTCTTAGATCTTTTTTTCACTTTCAGGCCAAGTAACATGTCAAGTAATGGGAGATCCCCATTATTTCACTTTTGATGGATTGATGTACACTTTTGTGGGTACCTGCACCTACACCTTGGTTGAGGTTTTCAACACCAATGGTGTCGTTCCTATAACCATCCTTGGCAAAAATGAAGACAGAGGACTAAGAGGGGCCACATATCTGAAAGAAGTCTATGTAGACCTGCATGATGTACGAATCACTCTTCAGAAAAGCCAAGGAATCCTGGTAGGTGGTAATGCTCATTATTCTGGCAAGAAATATCTTAAAATTAGCTCCCTAGAGTAGCTGTAGAAGCAAGGCTCTTCATGTTTTCTAAGAACTATGTACATATATGCTTAATACTTTGGGGCACTTCTGGTAACTGGATATCATACCATTTCCCTCTGGTTTCCAAGCCTTCTGTTTGGGCTTACTGTTCTACTGTCAGTATCTTGGAGATGGAGGCCAGAGCCTTCAGATAGGAGAACTGTTGACTGAACTAAAGAAGGAGGTTCCACACTTCAGTTTGTCAACCCTATCACCTATAGCTAGCTAACAAGAGCAGCAGGAAATCCACCCCATAGGTGGGTAAGAGCTTGCTCGCTTCCAGGGATCTTCCCAGCTTCCTGGTAGAGGCACAGGCTATGACTCCTGCCCAGCCCTCTTCAGATAAAAGGCAATGGTGGAAGTGTAAAGGAGCTAAATTGTCATAGGGGAAACTTCAGCACTGCAAGGAATATAGATTGTGAGCAAAAAAGCTTTAATGGAAGAATGTCCATACTGACAAATGGCATGTCTCTCCAGCTGAACAATGAGAGGGTCTACACTCCAGTGGAGAGCCGATTGCGAGGGGTGTCCATTGGAAACGTTGGCAGATTCATAGTACTGGAAACTGACTTTGGTGTGATAGTGAAATATGATGGCAATCACCATCTGGAAATCACCCTCCCACAGTCTTATTACTCAAAGGTAAGATTTCATATGTGAACATTTGATGCTGCTTCAAAAGTGCTGGTTTGTGCATTTACTTTTAATTTATTTTATTTTCTTAAATTCTTTTACACCTCTGTTTTGCTATTGCATCTTTCTTTGTAGCTGTATTGTAACATATTTCATTTTTTCCCTTTTATATTTTTTTCTCTTTGAAACTATTTCCTTGTGTTCCAAGGGGGTAGTTAGAGAAAATGACCTGACTAGGAAAATACATCCAGCTTACAGAATTAAGTGCCTTAAAGCCTTAGGGAACCATAGATTTACTGCAGTTTATATTTTATTTCTCCATGTGTGAGGTCAGACACTAGATAGTATGTCTGAAATATCTGGTGTAAGATTGGTTTTTGATGGTGATTTGGTCACATCATTTCATAGACAATTAATAAGAAGCCACTGGAGAAGCTGATATAGAACAGATTGTGCTTAAAATATATGGTTCTTGTTCATTTGCAGGTACATGGCATGTGTGGTAACTTCAATGATAATCATGAAGATGATCTGTCCTTGCCCAATGGTACACTTGTCAATGTCACACAGTTTGGAAATAGCTGGAAAGTGGAGGAAGACAGTGATGCAGGGTAAATGTAGCTTCTTTTCATACCTTTCTTCATTCTTTGTAGCACACAAAGAGTGTATGTGGGAGTTTTCAAGTCGAAGCTCAAAAAAAACCCCCATCACCACAGGGAACTGCCACACAGACCAGAGGGAAACCACAGATCCTATTGATCTACATGCACACTTAGGGAACTAGGCTTTGGAGCAGCCCACAGAATGGCATAGCCTTTATTTTTCACTGAAAATACCTAAAGTAGGACAATGGTGTTAGGGAACAGTGAGGGCCAGGTGCTCCCCAAAGGATAAGGAGCCAAGTGTGATAATATAGCCAAGAGAGCTCTGGCCTCACCAGCCAGGTCTCATGCCACACTAGCTCAGCCAGGCAAGCAGGGCAGGCTGAAGGTGGAAGCCAGGATCAACCAGGAGATCAGATCACCACACAAGTTTGCAGTGACAAGACAGGTCCAAGGTCAAGCTAAGAATTAAATTCTCTAGTCTGGCTCAAGTTCAGTGAGTGTAACAAGGTTCAGACACAGCATGGCAATTGCCAGGCAGGTCTACTTCTGAAAGTAGTTCTACTTCTTTCACTCACAGACAGAAAGAAGACTGTAGTCTCAAGCATTATTTGTTTAATACATTTCAGTAGAAACAAACTTTTCCATTTCAGTCTCCATTTATATACACTTTGAAATTTACATGCCACTGTGTCTGTTCTTGCATGCAGTTGTTTACCAGACTCAAGAGAAGATGATGCTCCTCCTTGCACTGCTGAGAACAAACCAGTCATTGAAAGCCAGTGCAATGTCCTAAAATCAGACAAATTTAAAGCATGTCATAATCTAGTCAAGCCTGAAAACTTCATACAGATCTGCATCTATGACATGTGCCAATATGATGGCATGAAGTCTGCTCTCTGTGACATAGTTCAAGCCTATGTGGACACCTGCAGAAATTATGGAATCACCATTAAATGGAGGAATAGCACATTCTGTCGTAAGTGCACAGCAAGTGAAAAAACTGAAACTTGTATGGCTGATAGCATGATAAGAATTTAGAAGTGTTAGGTAAACAAGTTATGTAAAAGAAAACTAAAGTCAAATTCTCATAAAATGCAATTCTATTGTTATTATTTTATAACTCCATTGTGGCACTGGACTGTGTTCATGTTGAGCTAAACCCAGAGATAACTCAGGACAAGTAACAGGCAGGAATGTGGAATTAAAATGTCTTTAGTAGCCAAATGAGTGCCATAAGATATTGCACTGAGTCTACAAGGGAGAATCAATATAACCAAAAGACTAAAACAAAGTGGGATAGTGTGTTAGGACACAGGGCTCAATGCCACTCACTGTGTTTTGAATGAAAACTGGTAATTTGGCTAGAAGTAGCTTGTTAAGGACCATGTTCTCAGATAATTTTCCAGTATATGTGCCTCACTCCACCCATTCAACAAAACTACAAACAAATGATATAAAGATGAGTAAAGCTTAGATACTGAGTTAGTTTTTATCGTTTTTTTTTCAAAATTAAGTATTACGTTTTGGAATTAATTATCAGGTAATGTTGTGGAGGACAAAACAATTAACTGGTTAAAAAGCAATTAACTGGTTAAAAAACAAGACAGATGAATATTGAATAGGTCCATCAGAATTTCCTAGTTGCCTCCTTTCCATGAGTGGAGGAAAATATTGGACAAACAAATTCTTTGTCCTGCTACCCTGTTCCTTGAACTGTCCCCTTATTCATCTCTAGTCATTGGCAGAAACAGGGTATACAACTAGATGAATCTTCAGTTGTTCTTCCTTGTGTTTATCTCGGTGGTTGAGCTAAATATATACCTGTTTTTCGTTGCTGGAGGGTTGAACATTATATGGAATTTACCCTAAAGATTCTGGTTTCTAGCAAAGAAGCATTTGCAGCTGAACTGAAATACTGAATCTCAATGATCTAGACCCAGGTGCCACCAGTTCAGACACACCTGGAGTAGAACTCAGTCAGCAGCTCCAGAGCAGGTTCTCTGTTTTGGTTTTGTTAGTGTGTTTTTTTTTAAAATAAAATATAAAAATAAAGACTGGTTGATGATCAAAATCCACTACTAAAAAGCAATGCTATACTACCATTTTATAAGCCAAGTTGTAGCTTTCAGGCAGGCACATGTTTGTAGTATACCTTCTAAATGTATTTAATAACACTGTTTCTTTCCTCTTCACCCACTCAGCCTTGCCCTGTCCAACCTACAGCCATTACACGGGCTGTGTCTCCGCCTGCCCATCAACATGCAATGACATTTTTGCCTCTTCCCTTTGTGAGAAGACAAAAGAGTGCACAGAGGGCTGTGAGTGTGATGATAGTTATGTGCTCAGCAATGGCAAGTGTGTACCCTTGAGCAATTGTGGCTGCAGGGATGATGACAACAATTACTACAGTGTAAGTAGTTTGTCTGTGAAGCAAATATCTGCCTGCAAAACTTGTAGAAAGTTGTTCCCCTGTCCATCTGAATGAGAGAGAGAGAGAAACAATCTTCTGGGTCTACTTCTTAAATACCTTTTTCCTGATTACTAAAAGCTTCAGCAAAGCTGAGCACCTTGGTAACATATTATTAACATGACTTGTTTCCAGGCTGGGGAGACTTGGATAACCCCACACTGCAGCAAAAGATGCCAATGTCAGAAGAATGGTGTCATCCAGTGCAAGAGCTATAGCTGTGATTCTAGAGAAACCTGCGTGATCAAAAATGGAAAACACAAGTGCAACCCAACAGGTATGTATAGGAAGTCTTCACCAGGTGTTCCATGAGGGCTGGAGAAGGAGGGAGGATGAGGGTGTTCATTCAGTCTTCCAGTCACTTTCAGTCTTTTTCACAGGGAAAGAAAATCAATCCCATATTCTCTCAGTGAATTGTCTTGTTTAGGAGATAGCTTGTTGCCTAGTGACTCTACACTGCAATTTTGAAGAACAGCATGGCTTAGGTCCAACAGTATTGATGATCAGTACAAGAGCATAATGCAAATCCAGCTTCCCCCTGCTCCATTTTGGCAAAATACCACAGCAGAGGCAACCCAGCAGTCTTAAGGAGAGTCTTGGTCCTGGGATAATGGTTTGCTTTGCACTCCAGGGTCAAGGAGAATACTTAGACAATAGTCGCTGCATCTGATTGTCAGGTGTGGTGAACACAATGGTCAATTTAGTAACCTCAGAAGCAATCAGTGTGACAGCAGTGAGTCAGCCAAATTAGACTTTCCTTTTCATGTTCCAGCAATTTTGTAGCAACACATTGCTGAGGATTGTGAAACCAGCATCTCTAAGAGCTTGCTGCAAGCCGTACTGTGTGGCAGAGTCATTCCTCTGCAGAGGACCAATGTGGACAGCTTAGTCTCTATAAAACGAACAAATCCCAATGTTCTGCTTCAGTTAACTGGCTCACACTAGTTCTTCAGCAGAGGAATGAGTTTCTCTGGCCATTTCTCCCTTCAAGTGCCCATTAACTAGGATGATGCCTGTGCACTCATCTTTATTTTAAGAGACCTGCATGCTAGCAGCAATTATTTTAATCTAACTTATGTTCAAATGCATCATGCTTGGGATCTGGCACATGCACGTTCAGACTGGAGACTAATGAAACTCTTCCCTTCCAGGTTTTGGGAGGTGCCGGATCATGGGCGATCCACACTACACCACCTTCGATGGGCTGGTGCACCACTTTCAAGGGAGGTACACTTATATTCTGGTTCAGACCATCCCTGGCCTACCTGATGCTCTGACACAGTTCAGGATCGAGGGCACAAACTACCCTTTCCGTCGGAGCCGACGCATCACTTACCTGAGGGAGATTCTCATCAACGTTTACAATCACACAGTGAGATTCAGGCAGAACAAGCAGTTATTGGTAAGTCTCTCCCTGACTGTAGAGCACAGAGAAAAACTCTCCCTGGGAGTAAAACATCATATATAAGAACTATAATATATTTAAATATTAATAAATAGAGTTATAGTAACATAGTTAAATACTAATTAATATAGCAATAATACAGTTAAAGGTAACTATGTTATTACAGCAGTGCTATGGGGCAACCACAAATGTGCTTTTCAGTTGTGTTGAGACTTTTTTCTCTATAGCTACCAAGGATACAATTCTACTTCAAATACAAATTAAGAATTTATATATAAATTTAAAAATGTATGTATTAATTCAAAAACAAATTAAGAAATATAGATTTAGAAATAAATCCCCCAATATGCCAAAACTTACAATAATGCCATACTAATTCTTATCAGTAAAAGGAAAAAAACTGTAATTATGCAAGGAAAACTTGATTTCCTTCCCCTTTATTAATGCATAAAAGTATAGATAGCTCATATATACATTTTTAACTCAATAAAAGAAATCTGCTTGGGTCATATGAAAATACTGTGTCCAGATCATTTTCCTCATTACATGATTTTGCTAACTTAAAAAAGATTGAATACTGAGATTTTTTACTTAGTTAAATTATCTGATGTATTTACCATAAAACCAGAGGAGTGTTCATATGTAGCACTGACCTGTAGTGAAGCCAGATTTTAATTTGCCCTATGTATTATGAATATTAACTTATTGTTTCCCTGTCAGCTGGATGGTGTGAACGTGAGACCCCCTGTTAATCCTCATGAAGGTATTCGTATATATCAAAGGACAACAAGAATTTACCTGGAGACAGACTTTGGCTTATACTTGAGCTTTGATGGCAGTCAAAATGCAGGTAAGTGATACTAAGACACTGTACAGGAAAATTTATATACTGTCTCAAAACATGTTCTAATTCCAAAGGAGGTCTAAACCCGAGACAAAATTAGCAACTTTTACTCTTTGAGCCTGTCATTCTTTTTGATATAAACTTCCAGAAAGCTAAAACAAAAAGCATTTCCCAGGAACCAGAAAAAAACATAAAATTGTCTTATCTTTATCTGGATTCACCTGAACCTAGGAGAAATGAGGTTGAGTCAGACTGTTCTACTTTTGTTCATGTTAGATAAGGTCCAAGTGATAAAAAGAAAAGAAATCACTTAAAATTGCTGGGATGATGGGATGAAATCTGGGTCTGCCCCTTCACCATCTTAACCCAGTTATAGGGCTGAGGTCTTCAAGCTATACAGCTGTGAGTGCATCCTCTTACCTACTTCCTCTCAAGCCTATTCCAAATAATCCCATTCTTTAGTGTTTCTCAGCAGGACTCTTTTATCACATATACACAACTCACTCATGTAAATTGAACACACGTTACCTCCTCTGTTCAAAGCTGAGTTAACCCTGATTTACAACAGAATAAAGCCATGTTATTTCTGAGTGTATGTTGAAAGTGCCAGGCCATCTCTACACACAACCATCATTCCAAACCCTAGAATGCCAACTGCAGAAATAAAAGCTCTATTTTACAGGAATTCTGTTTCTCAATGAGCAAGTGGACTTTAAGTGAAGGACAAAACGTGGATGGTGCATTAATTTTGTGGCAAAGTAGCATGCACTAAGAGCACTCAGGTGGCAATGTTATGTGTATATTGCCTTACTGGCTGGAAGAAATATTTTTTATTCATGGTTCGTGTTGCAGAGCACAGAAACAGTCCTGTGAATTCATGTATGAACATACATGTCCAGGGCTGTGTTCATGTCCTATGTATGAGGCCTGTGCCACATGACCAACTCAAATCTGAATCATTAAATGTGTTGCTTGGCACTGCTTTCCATCTCTTCCCTACAACCAGAAGCAAAGATTTCTGATTTCTTTTATTTTTTCTTCTGAACTGCCCTAGATATAAAGCTGGCCAACACCTACAGAAACAGAGTAGAGGGCTTGTGTGGCAACTTTGATGGGATATACAGAAATGACTTCACAAAGCCAGATGGAAGGTCAGTGAAGTATGTGAATGTATTTGGTGAGAGCTGGAAAATTCCTGTGAAAAGAACAACCTCTCGTTTCAGGTACTTAATTTTCTACTTAATATCTGTGGCAAGTACAGCCACTGAAAGTGAGTGAATTAAGCCTTAGGCAATCTCCAGGAAGAACTACATTGTCTTATTTCTGGTCTTTCTTCTTCCCTTGGTCTGTGTGTAGAAAGTTTTCCTGCTCATCACTCAGGTGAAACTATTTATGCCCTTCTGTCTAGCCAAGAGAAGCCTGAGCTATCCCTGCATTAGTCCAGTTCAGTACCCCTTTTTGGAGTCACAGTCTGTGGGGAATAGTCCATCTTCTCTCCCCCCACATAAGACTAAACATCATGTTGTGCTAGATGAGCCTGAGGGAGGGCAAGTCCTGGTTTAGTGTCAGCCTCCCTCTGGAATCTGATGGTAGCTTTGAAATCCATCAAGATGATTTCACAGTTCCTCCCAGAGAGGTTCTGGAAGAACCTGATGTTCTTACTTTTATGGCTATCCAGTGTTTTCTGCCAGTACCCAAAAAGTAAGAACATTATTTTGAGTATAAATGAGTGTGATATTTGTGGTCAGGGAAATTCTGTG